TCAACAACCAGGATAGTCTTCTTTTGGAGAAAGCAAATGTAAAAGTGAGGAGAAAGAGGCAAGAGAGAGTAAGGGAGACTTGACAGAAAATAAAAAGGACAAAGAGGAAGAAATGAAAAAAATAAGAAAAATCAAAGGGAATTATTGATTAAATGAGCAAGTGAGGATAGGGGAAAACATGATTTGATGAATTCATTTCATATCTTAAGTCTCTGTTAAAAAGAGTGTTTTGGTTGGTTGGTTGTTTTTACTAGACTTGACTTTATAGTTTCTTCCAGCAAAATCAACTCCAAGAGAGTGGACGGTAGTACTGATTTGAATAAACTATCAGTCAGTTCAGTCATTCAGTCGTGTCCAACTCTTTGTGACCCCATGGACTGCAGCATGCCAGGNAAGTCTCTCAGTTTCCATTGTTTCCCCATCTATTTGCCATGAAGTGATAGGACTGGATGCCATGATCTTAGTTTTTTGAATATTGAGTTTTAAGCCAACTTTTCACTCTCTTGTTTCACTTTCATCAATAGGCTCTATAGTCATTAGAAAAAAAAATTCTCTTTTGCCCTATGAAAATTTTAGAAGTGTTCCTCATGGAAACATAAATAAGCTTCTGTGCCAATCAAAATATGAAAGGCAAGAGTGTACAATGCTTGCCGGAGGTAAAGTTCTATTTGCCTCAAGGCACTTCCAATATATACAGATGGACAAGATACAAGGTAGAGGGACAAAGATACTGACACTGCCCTCCCTTCCCTGAAACATTCTGTTTACCGAGTATGTGACAGTGGATAAGCCTCCTTGCAGCACAGCCGAGCACCACATATAAGTTGTGAGTTATGAGATACCAGACTCTTTAAGCACAAAATCAATCTATTCAACAACCTCATTACCCCCATGGGTCCAACACTGTGCCCAATGTTCCAGTTTCAGAAACTGCTTTGAGTTATGACAGCCTTCAGAAAAATCTTTGTTAAATCAAAGTATATGACTTGAGAGATTTAACAACCCAGTGTCTTATCAGTTTGAATTAGATAATTAGCTGTCAAAAAGAGCCCCTTGAGAGAGAAACAGAGGTTAAGTATATTTAATTGAGCAGAAGAAAGGATGGAGTAGGCAAGATTTTCCTCTATCACAGCCATGAGAACATGCAATAAGACTGCAGAGAAAGCCAGGCCATAGAAGGATTTAGGATGGCTACTGAAGGGAAACCTAAAACAGAGGAAAGCTAGCAGCAAATGGGCTAGATTTGGTACACAGGAAAGAAAAAGAATAAACAAAACTGGCCAGCTGTCTGATTTCACTCTTAGACTGTCACAGCCTGGATGGAACTTACTCATTTCTACCCCCGATTGGATGGTGGAATATGAAAGTGGAGAGACCAGTGAGCAGTCCTAGATCAGCAGCAGTAAGGCAACTCCAGAGAGGGGACAGCTTCCTGTGTAATTTCCAAGGATATTTCTATTGCAGATCCTCAGGGGGAAAAAATAAACACTAATTTCTGAATGTGATTGAAAATGTTTTTCTCACATGTCCTCTCAAAAAGAATGACATGTTTCTTTTGAAAACAGGATAATTCCAATTTCTAGATATATTTTCCTACTTCTCTCACTAATTACAACTAAAGTCTGTAGATTTCTTATAGTAAACAGATGTAAAAAGGATCTGAGAGGTGGAGAGACAAAGCCAAGTTAGCAAGAGATCTCAACACCTGAAGAATGGGCTGGTGCTGTTTTTTAGGCGCTGTATCTATCTTGTGTATCCAGACTGGGAACGGGAGAAGGAGGACACCTGGAAATGCTAACAGGTCAGACAAAAAAGACCCCAACAAAGTCTGGTCTCTGATCAAAAATCCAGGAAAGAAATAATCTATTAGGACAATAACTTTTAGACAATAGCCACTCCAAACAAATACACAAAACAAATTCTATGGCTGGTTCTGATTCTGCCAGCATAGTTGAGTGCAGAGCTTAGACTTCCCCCGCTGCCCGTCTGTTGAGACGCTTCACCACACCTCTGAAGGCAGGGTGTGGAGCCCAGACTGTCTTCTGGGAACAAGTCACACCCTTCCTCTAGCCAGTGTCACAGGGGAGCCTGGACATCCCCACCCCCCCTGGCAGTAAACAGAGGACATCCCTGTCACCCACAAGAATGACACAAACACCTCTTGAAACACGAGGTTTGCACATGATCCTGAGTCTTTACACCACACTACTCAAAACGCCCATGTTCCAGTGGAAAATCACTTATACCAGGCATCAGGGGGCTCTCAAACAACATGAAAGACAATCAATAGACGCAAACATGGAGATGATACAAATATTAGAATAATGTGACAATTTTAAAGCACTCACCATAAAATGCAACAGTTATGAAACTCTTGAAACAAATGATAATAAATGGAAAAAAGGCAAAGATAAAGAGATAAAGAAGTAGCCAATGGAAATTGTAAAACAAAAGTACTGTAAGTGGGAAAAAATAATGGATGTTAAAAACATTGTCAAAAATCACCGCACTTAGTACTGTCATCTGTCTTTAGTTTTGTGATTTTTTTTTTTTATTACATGAGGATTAAAATTTGGGAAGAGAATATTTGTCATCTCTCTTCCTGGCTTTCTCTGTCTCTCTTTCTTGTTTAAATTACCTCATTTGAAAGTGGTTTCACCTTCTTTACTCGAATATTCTAAGGCAAAGGCTAACTATTTTCCTGATAGTGTGCTTATTTGTTTGTTACCAACATCATAAATTTATATGGTTCAATAAGAAAATACATTTCATATTACATTATCGAAATCATAAATTGTTTTGCTATAAGAATAGGATATAGATTTCTAGCTACAGTGGAAAGTTATCTTCTCAAGTATTATTTAATTTGTTTAATCAAAGTGTATCTTTAAAAATTTGTGACAACTGTTGTTTTGATCTGTTGTTTGATCTGTTGTTTGAACTGTTTTGATCTCTGACTTCTGAATCTCTCAAAAACAAATAATTAGAAGTTGCTGGTTTTATTGCTGTTCAAAGAATAATAAACTTTTGCTATACAAAGACATTTATTTCTGCTTCATTGAATACACTAAAGCCTTTAACTGTGTGGATCACAACAAACTGTGGGAAATTCTTAAAGAGATGGGGTTACCAGACCACCTCACTTGCCTCCTGCAAAATCTGTATGCAGGTCAAGAAGCAACAGTTAGAACCGGACATGGAACAACAAACTGGTTCCAAATTGGGAAAGGAGTACATCAAGGCTGCATGTTGTCACCCTGCTTATTTAACTTCTATGCAGAGCACATCATAAGAAATGCTGGGTTGGAGGAAGCACAAGCTGCCATCAAGTTTGCCGGGAGAAATAGCAATAACCTCAGAGATGCAGATGACACAAGCCTTATGGCAGAAAGTGAAGAGGAACTAAAGAGACTCTTGATGAAAGTGAGAGGAGAGTGAAAAAGCTGACTTAAAACTCAACACTAAAAAAGCAAAGATCTCGGCATATGGTCCCATCACTTCATGGCAAATAGTTGGAGAGAAAAAGGAAATGGTGATAGACTTAATTTTCTTGAGCTCAAAAATCACTGCAGATGGTTACTGCAACCATGAAATTAAAGACACTTGCACCTTGGAAGAAAAGCTATGACAAACCTAGGCAGCATATTAAAAAGCAGAGACATTATTTTGCCAACAAATGTCCATATAGTCAAAGCTATGGTTTTTCCAGTAGACATGTATAGATGTAAGAGTTGGACCATAAAGAAGGCTGAGCACGGAAGAATCGATGCTTTTGAACTCTGGTGTTGGAGAAGATTCTTGAGAGTCCCTTGAACTGCAAGGAGATCAAACCAGTCAATCTTAAAGGAAAACAATCCTGAATATTCACTGGAGGGACTGATGCTGAAGCTGAAGCTCCAATACTTGGGCCACCTGATGCAAAGGGCTGACTCAATGCAAAAGACCCTGATGCTGAGAAAGATAGAATGCAGAAAGATAAGGGGATGACAGAGGATGAGATGGTTAGATGGCATCACTGACTCATTGCACATGAGTTTGAGCAAGTTCCAGGAGATGGTGCAGGACAGGGAATCCTGGTGGGCTCCCTGGGGTCCATGGGGTCACAAAGAGTCCGACAAGACTGACTGACTGAACAACAACAACATACCAGTATTTTTAAAACAAGTTTGAAGAATATTCACAGAAAAAAAATTTAAGGCTCTTAATTTCCCTCATTATTGTAGTGTGCGTTTGAAAACTGCACAACTCATTTAGTATGAGTCATTCCATGGAGATGTGTACATAATTACAGATTCTGAACCATAGTTGTGGAATACAGAAAGACTTCGCAGAAGAACCAGCAACTAAATACATATAGAGATGTAAAAAAGTTACTATGATGGTCTGAGTTTTGTAAGCTTTTTCGAAAACAAACTATACTTTAATACTATATATATAATTTAATTTATTTTTATAAAAGCTTACAAGAATCAAACTATATTGTAAAAAACAAACTATATTACATATACACAAAAAACAGGATTATTTATATAGAATATTATTTTAATGTATAGTTTGTTCTCACAAAATCTTACAAAAACCCAACCAGATCAGGTTATAGTAACTTTTTTATATCTATATTTTCTCATTCAAAAATGCTTGATTTAACTCTAACCATGTCATTTGGTCTATATATATAATTATTCTTTGTAAGGTCTGTATCATATTTTGGATATGAATACACCACAATATTTTCAATTATTTCTTTGTACATGTGGGTTCTTTTTCTCTTTTCATTTTTTGTACAAATATGGACACTCCTACAATAAAATCTTTATAAATGTACATAGTTGTGATTATCTGCTAAGGCTACCATAACAAAATACACACACTGAGTGATTTAAACAGTAAACACTTATTATTCGTAGTTCTGTAGGTTAAAGTCCAAGATCAAGGTGTTTGAGTGTTTGGTTTCTTCTGAGGTCTCTCTCCCTGGTTTACAGATGGCTGCCTTCTTGCTGTCCTCTGTGTGGGAATTCCTGTGTGTCTTCTTTTTCTATAATGAAAAATTGAGTGTTAGTCACTGAGTTTTGTCTGACTTTTTGAGACCCCATGGACTATAGTCCCCCAGTCCTCTGCCCATGGGGTTCACCAGGCAAGAACACTGGACTAGGTTGCCATTTGCTTCTCCAGGGGATCTTCCCAACCCAGGGATCGAACCCAGGTCTCCTGCATTGCAGGCAGTTTCTTTACCATCTGAGTTACCAGGGAAGTGCTTTCTTATAAAAATACTAGTTATATTGGAATAGTGGTTTACCTTTAAGACCTCTCTTAACCTTAACTACCTATAAAGTTCATTAATATCCAGTTCAGCTCAGTTCAGTTCAGTCACTCAGTCGTGTCCAACTCTTTGTGACCCCATGAATTGCAGCACGCCAGGCCTTCCTGTCCATCACCAACTCCTGGAGTTTACCCAAACCCATGTCCATTGGGTTGGTGATGCCATCCAATTAATGTCCAAGGTATCTCCAAATATAATCACATTCTAAGGTACTTGGAATAGAACTTAAACATAAATTTTGAAGAGACACAATTCAGTTCATAGTGACAGGCCTTTCTTAATCAGTGCTTTAAGTTCTGTGGAGTAGATTTCTGGGAGTAACATTCCTCCTTTACATGTAGTATGTTGTACTTAATTTTAATAGATGCTACATCCTAATAAGGTAATATTTCACTCTTCTGTCAGAAATTTTTTTCTTCATGTTGCCACCAGATGCAGTTCTTTTTATCTGTTTATCTTATCCAGATGGGATAATGCACCTTATTGATTTAGTATCCATTGTCTTAATTAGGGTAAATTTGGGTTTATTTACATTTACTTATGGGATGTTTGTGTTAGGTCACTGCAGATTCTGTTTATCACCTTTAGTCTAATTTTAATGGGACTGTGAACATTTGTATTTTTTGTCATAGTTTTTAAAATTTTTATTGCAGTGTAGCTGCTTTACAATGTTGTGTCAATTTCTGCTGTATAGCAAAGTGAATCAGCTATACATATACATGTATCACCTCTTTTTTGGTTTTCCTTCCCATTTAGATCACCACAGAGCATTGAGTGGGGTTCTCTGCGCTATAGAGTAGGTTCTCATTCATTATCTATTTTACACATCATAGGGTATATATGTCAGTCCCAATGTTCCGATTCATCCCATCCTCTTCCTTTCCCCACCTGGTGTCATACATTCATTCTCTACGTCTGTGGCTTTATTTCTGCTTTGCAAATAGGTTTATCTGTACCAATTTTTCTAGATTCTACATTATGCATTAATATGTGATACATGTATCACCTCTTTTTTGGTTTTCCTTCCCATTTAGATCACCACAGAGCATTGAGTGGGGTTCTCTGTGCTATAGAGTAGGTTCTCATTCATTATCTATTTTACACATCATAGGGTATATATGTCAGTCCCAATGTTCCGATTCAACCCATCCTCTTCCTTTCCCCACCTGGTGTCATACATTCATTCTCTACGTCTGTGGCTCTATTTCTGCTTTGCAAATAGGTTTATCTGTACCAATTTTTCTAGATTCTACATTATGCATTAATATGTGATACATGTTTTTCTCTTTCAGACCATACTCCGTATGACAGTCTCTGGGTCCATCCACATCTCTGCAAATTGCACAATTTCATTCCTTCTTATGAGTGAGTAATATTCCATTGTGTATTTGTGACACATATTCTTTATCCATTCCTCTGTCAATGAATGTTTAGGTTGCTTCCATGTCCTGGCTGTTGTAAATAGTTCTGCAATAAATGTTAAGGTGCATGTATTTTTTTGGAATTATGGTTTTCTCTAGATATGTCCAGGAGTGGAATTGCTGGGTCATATGATAGTTCTAGCTTTAGTTTGAGGAAATCTCCACACTGTTCTCCACAGTGGCTGGACCAATTCACATTCCCACTAACAGCCTAAGGGAGTTCCCTTTTTCCACATCCTCTCCAGCATTCATTTTTGTGGATTTTTTAATGACCAGTGTGAGGTGACACCTCATTGTACTTTTGACGGGCATTTCTCTAATAATTAGTGAAGCTGAGCATCTTTTCATGTGCCTCTTAGTCATCTGTGTATCATTTTTGGAGAAATGTCTATTTAGGTCTTCCAACCATTTCTTAATTGTTTTTTTTTTTTATGTTGAGCTTCATGAATAGTTTATATATTTTGGATATTAACCCTTGTCCATTGTTCCTATTCCAAGTATTTTCTCCCATTCTGAGAACTGTCTTTCATATTGTTTATGGTTTCCTTTGCTGTGCAAAATCTTTTACATTTAAGTAGCTCCCATTTTGTTTTTTTGCATGCTTGTTTTTATTCTCATTACCCTAAGAGGTGGGTCAGAAAAAGGCCTTGCTGCAATTTATGTCATAGTGTTCTGCCTGTGTTTTCCTCCAAGAGTTTCATAGTGTCCAGCCTTATCACTTAGGTCTTTAATCCATTTTGAGTCTGTTTTTTGTGTATGATGTTAAGGAGAGCTCTAATTTCATTCTTTTACATGTAGTTGCCCAGTTTTCCCAGCACACTTACTGAAGAAACTATCTTTTCTGCATGGCCTCCTTTGCCATAGAATAGGTCACCATAGGTGCATGGATTTACCTCTGGGTTTTATATCCTGCTCCATGGATCTATATTTCTCTTTTTGTGCCAGTGCCATGCTGTCTTAATGACTATAGCTTTGTAGTATAGTTTGAAGTCAGGGAATGTGATTCCTCCAGCTCTGTTTTTCTTCAAGATTGCTTTGGATATTCGAGGTCTATTGTGTTCCTATACAAATGATAAAATTCTTTGTTCTAGTTCTGTGAAAAATGTCACATAATTTGATAAGTATTTCATTGAATCGGTAGATTGCTTTGGGTACCTATTATTTTTAAACATTAGAGGTAATAATAATAAATTATCCTTTCATACTTTTTTCATATCCTTTATTTCTGTACTGAGTTTGTTAAGATTATGAGTCATAACACAAATATGTGTGTGTGTGATTTCTAATCAAAAATATATTTATTTTCTTTCATAATTTTGGGGATTCCAAGTTTGTGTCTGAGATATTCATTAGAAGCATTGAACAAATATTTCCAATTCCTTTCTTGATATATATTTGGACTTTGCTTTTTTTTTTCTTTTAGAGTTAGGTATCAGTACTTGCTTTGGCCAGTGAAATGTGAGCAGAAAAGGCAAGTCCCACTTCAAGGAGAGTTTTTTGAGCTAGCAGGTGATTTTTACATTGGCTCCAGTGTCAGAGTAGTGAAATATGGCAGAGAGCCTGACAAGCTATGATGAGATATAGGTCTTGCTTTTTATAAGCCACTAAGATTTAGGGATTGTTCTAGTAGAAAATATAGACTATCTGAACGAATAGAGTTAGCAAAATTCATCCAGCTTCTAGTTTATGTTAGGTCTTATATTTTTTTGAAGATTTTCTATAATTTTAAAGAAAGTAAGCCTTTGTGGCATTTTAAATTTATCCTTAAGTTAGAGATAGAAGTCTAATTTCATTTTACTTAATTTCTATAAACATTTATACCAGCAATAAGTAATCTACTCTCTAGTAGATTAGTCTAGTCTACTCAAAAATCTAGTCTTTTTTTTTTTTTTTACCATTAATAGACTGATGTTTTTATCATCTATCAAGTTCTCATAAATACTGTCATCTCATTTTGGATTCCATTTCCAATTAATACAATGATACATTAGTCTGATCCTTCATTAATGCAAACCTTATCTGTGGTCTTAGGTCCTCACATATTCTTATCAATTTTAAGGCAACCTTGTCTCCAACTTTTTTTTATAAATCTGTCATTCATTCATTTATCATTATTTCTTGTTTTGAGCATTTATTCTTTTGTATGAAGCTGAACTAATTCTATGCAAATCCAGAAAATAATATAATGTAAAAGAATATTTTTGGATTGAACTTCTAACCATGATGTGGTAATAGGAACTAGACATTTCTTCCTATCATAAACAATTAGAAAATTGGTCAATATATATTAAGTAATTATTGCATTAAACATTAATAAGGCAAAAGGAATCATAAAAAATTTCAAGTAATCCAAAAGAAGACAGAAAAACAGGAAAAACAAGAAAGAAACAAGAACTTGGAGAAAAGAGAAAGCAAAGAGCAAGAAAGACCTAAATCCAAACCAACTTATAGTTTTCACTAAAAATAAACGACTAAACACCTCACTTAAATGGCACAGATAGCACATGTACACCCATGGCTGATTCTTGTCAATGTATGGCAAAAAACCACTACAATATCATAAAGTAATTAGCCTCCAATTAAAATAAATTAATTTTTTAAAAAGGAACAGATGAATAGACTGTAAAAAAAATTTGAAAAGAAATAAACTCTATATTGTCTATAGGAAAAGCATGTTAGATAAGACACACAGATTAAAGATAAAAGAGGAAAAATAACATTCATTGCATACCAAAGTCCAGTGAAGAAAAAGACATAGATTATCTGAACAGGAAAAATATAAGGAATGATAAATTGTAACATGGAATTGGAGTCATGAGGGATTGGCAAGTAAAAGGTATATGGAACTCTGGAGAATATAGAAAGAGCAGTTACCAACCCTAGAGTCTGATCTAGACTCATGAGGATGAAGCCCTCCCTCACGGAGGTTGGCCAACAGAACATTTTTTGGAAACCTGACCTATGATCTTGCTAGAATCCATCTTCTGGGACAACGGTTGGGAAACTTTTCTGTAAAGGTCATATAGTAAATATTTTAGGTTCTGTGGAACATAACAGTCTCTGTCACAATTATTAAGTTCCTCAGTAGGAATGCAAGAGTTCCCAAAATTGACTGGAGGAATGGTAATAGCAAGGTTCTAGTAAAACTTTATTTACAAAAACACCTTATGGCTCTATTTGGCATGTAGGCCAATGCCTGCTCTGGAGTGTCTGGGAATCCTGTTCAAAGGAAATGTCTCACTCGAGACATAGCCTATAGGATACAAGATTGCCTGTAGTGGAGAGGGAAGTGTTGGGGATAGCTGCTGGCTGCTGAGTGCTTTTTGGAGCCTGGTGCCAGAGAAGCGCATCTTGCTAAGGGAACTGGGTGCTGAGTCCGTGCATGCTATAGGAATCACTCACTTGTCCAGTGCTTTTTATCAAAAATATAAAGAGCCCATTAGGATTCTAATGAAATTTTTAAATGTATGTATAGTATTTTCATTTCTCTAACACATTTGTCCTTCATGTTTATCAATAAATTATTAAATATTTCTTCATTTGTTCCTGGTTATTGTCTAATGAATTGTTTAACATTAATGCCATTAATAAACACATGAAAAGATGCTCAACATCACTTATTATTAGAGAAATGCAAATCAAAACCACAATGAAGTATAATCTCATGCTGATCTGAGTGGCCATCATCAAAAAGTCTACAAACAGTAAATGCTAGGGAGGATATGTAGAAAAGGAAATTAACTCTCTTACACTGTTGGTGGGAATGCAAACTGGTAAAACCATTGTGGAGAAAAGTGTGAAGACTCCTTAAAAAACTGGGAATAGAATTGCCATATGACCTAGCAATCCCACTGCCTGGCATACACACCAAGGAAACCAGAATTGAAAGAGGCACATGTACCCCAATGTTTACAATAGCTAGCATATGGAAGCAACTGTCCATCAGCAGATGAATGGTAACGAGGTTGTGTTACATATGCACAATGGAATATTACTCAACTATAAAAAGGAACACATTTGAGTCAGTTCTAATGAGGGGGATGAAACTGGAGCCTATTATACTGGCGAAGTAAGTCAGAAAGAGAAACACAAATACTGTATATTAACACATGTATATGGAATTTAGAAAATCAGTAACGATGATCCTACATGCAGGGCAGCAAAGGAGACACAGACGTAAAGAACAGACTTTTGGACTCAGTGGGAGAGGGTGAGGGTGGGATGATTTGAGAGAGTAGCATTGAAGCATGTGCATTACCATATGTAAAACAGATGACCAGAGCAAGTTCCCTGCATGAAACAGGGCACCCAAAGCTGGGGCTGTGGAACAACGCAGAAGGATAGGGTGACGAGAAGGTGGGAGGGTGCTTCAGGGTGGGGGGACACGTGGCCAATTCATGTTGATGTATGGCAAAAACCATCACAGCATTGTAAAATAATTATCCTCCAGTTTAAATAAATTCATTTAAAAGTAAATTAGTGCATTATTGTTTATTGTTACAGCTCTAAATATGATTCCATTTTAAATGCAGTTTTATCTAGTTATTGCCAGAATATGCACAATAAATGCTAGATACAAATGATTGTTTTGCCTTCTGCATTCAATCTTATTTCATAATCTTATGGTATATTTTTTCATTGCTAGGACTTCAAATTCTAGCATTGCCATCCCTTTAATACTGATTAATACACAGAAAGAATTTGACACCTTTAAACAAAAATCATTCTAATTTGAATTAGCTAACATTTTAAAATCAATAATGAATATTGACCTTTAGAAACATTCTTTTGCAATAATTAAAATGCTTAATTTTTCTCCTTCAAACTGTACATACAGTTTTAAAGGGAAATAAATGATCATTCAGTGATATATATATATATATATTATTAATTATTTAAGCTGTAATTTTGGTTGATAATTGTTTTTGTTTTAAAAAATACAGTTTTACAAAATGCAGTATATGCATACAATGGGATACTATTCAGCGTGAACAATGAGTGAAATTCTAACATTTATACCCAGTATGAATGAACCTTGAGGACATTGTACTAAGTAAAATAAGCCAGTCATGAAAAGACAAATCCTATCTGAGTTTACTTACATGAAGTATTTAAAGCAGACAGCAAATATAATGGCACTTGCCAGGCCCTGGGGAAAAAGAAATGGGGATTTACTGGTTTACGGATATAGAGTTTCAGTTTTATAGGATAAAAAGAATTTTGGAGATGGATGTCGGTGATGGTTATACAACAATACTAATACATTTAATAACTTTGAACTGCACAGTTAAAAATGGTGACTATGGTAAAAAAAAAATACTGTTTTAAAATCATCATTTATACTTTGGTATATAAGTAATGTGGATATACACCTATAGTTTACTATCTAAAAGTTAATACTTTTGAACTTATTCTGAAATTACTATTTGAATAGTAAGTTAGCATAAGTAAATGTACAATTTTTATATTTAGAATTCAACTGAATTTCTTTTTATCTTATTTTTAATACTTTTTAGTTCATAAGGTATACTTTAGATCTCAATAAAGAAAAAATTGAAATGATTAATTACTCTATCAGTAGTGAACAAAAGTCACAGCATCTACATTCTGCATCTATCATGTTTTCTATCAGTTAGCCTTTCAGAGCTAGTTTCCTTAAGATTTATATTCTGCTTCCATGCAATCATAATCATCAAAGAGAGTGTAATGAGACATCATCAATTTAATTTAAATTTTCAAAAGTGCCAAGTTGATTGATCTTTTAAAGGGCCACAGGGATCTTGAAGATAAACATCTTTTTCAGCATTATCAGTTTAATTCCAGTGGTACAGTGGATCCTATGAGAGTATTACAAACATACACTCTTACATAAAATTTTATATGCCATTGCACTAAATTATAACATATGCTTGAAGGATGGAAATTTAATTAGCACAACCCATGCAGAAAAATCAGGAGTCAATACAATAATTTCACAAGAGGTCTTTAAACTGTTTTGAATTATATGATTTTAAAAAATCATATCTTGTATATCCATGGCTGATTCATGTCAATGTATGACAAAAACCACTACAATATTGTAAAGTAATTAGCCTCCAACTAATAAAAAAATTTTTAAAAAAATCATATCTTGGTGGCTTAGATGGTAAACAATCTGCCTTAATGCAGCAGATCTAGGTTCGATCCTTGGTTTGGGGATATCCCCTGGAAAAGAGAATGGCAACCCACACCAGTATTCTTGCCTGGAAAAGAGAATTGCATGAACAGACAAACTTGGCAGGCTACAGTCCATGGTGTCACAAAGAATCGGACAAGACTAAATGACTAACACTTTCACTTATCTTTTCACAAATTGATTTTTAAAAATCCAAGTTGCAAAAGTTCAGAATAACTAACATCCAATTTAAATACACTAGATAATATGTTGGTAATACATTAGAGACATTCAGCTATGTGATAATTAGTCAAACTTACTCATGATAATCAAGACATTGGCAAACTCACATTGGCACCAAATTAAACTATTTTCTCTATTTTTGGGTCCATAAACTTCCTTCTTGACAATACCTTCAGTTGACAAATATATTCAGTATAATTATAGATGTTTATTTATATAATATATGAAAGTCCTCCTGGTTATTTGGTTCAGTTTTTTAGGTTGCTGGGTTAAAAATGGAAACAGGCATCCTATGTTTTAATTTTCTAGAAATACATAACAACAACAAAAAAATTTTAGTGTAAGAAAAATTTTCTTAAAATACCAAGGCAAATGTCAACATTTTTCTTCAGTCAGTAAAGCTGCAGAAAGGAAAAACAACTCTTTATTTTAATAATTCAATAATGATTTAATATATAAGTTAACAAAGAATTATTGACCTGGGACTTTCCTAGAAATCCAGTGGTTAAGGCTCTGCACTTATGCTGGGGCCATGGGTTTGATCCCTGGTGGAGGAACTAAGATTCCACAAGTGTGGCAAGACCAAATTAAAAATAAATAAAAATAAGAATCATTGACTAGATGTAGAATAATTTAAAAGGCAAAAATGAAACATAGGAATATCACACACATTGAAAAAATGGGAAGCAATGACCAAAGAGAAGTGTGAGAATTTCTGGTGTGTAAAGGTTGAGAAAGGGACCCCCTGGGACCAGGGAACCAGACTTCACAGAAGGGGCTCCAGCTGGATGATGCTGTCATCTCGGGACCACCTACAAGTCTGGTTCTGCAATTGTTGGCAAATTGAAAATTGGAACAAACTATTGCTAGAAGGGTGGAGAGAAAAAAATGGAAATTAAAAAAAAATGCATGTTCCAAAATGTATGCTGACAAGAACAGAAAGAGAAAGCAGAAAAGGAAGCAAAGAGGAAAGTGATGTGTTTCTTCCTTCTCCAGGCTTCTAGCCTCACACTACCCTAGTATTGTTAGTAGAAAAGGGAGTCAACTGGCGAAGAAAAATGTAGTTTGCAGACTCATATCCTCCTTATCACCAAGCCAATCATACAGAAAAGTGGATTTGAAATGGGGACAATATTTAACAATTGTGTAAGAAAATTCAATATTCGTAAAGTCAAGCCAAAACTTTAAAGCATCACTCTCTAACGTCATTTCTGTGAAAGGTTGCTATATTTTCTTTTCTAACTCGATATGAGCACGTCTGGGAAATTCTAGCTGAGTGGATAGTTTTAGTTTTCATTCCAATGTTTCCTTTTACTACAGGCGAAAGTATCTTCTTGTTTTGTGTGTTGGAATTTTCTAAAGTGATAAAGCAATTCTCTTATTTTCTTTAAATTTATTTTACAATTTTTATATCCATGGTGCTACATTTGAGTATTAACTTACCTGAAACTTAATTTCAGTTTGATGTGATGTGAAGGCATACTTTTATTTTTGTACTATCCCCTGCACCCTCCAGTGTTCAGTTCTGTCGCTCAGTCATGTCCGACTCTTTGCGACCCCATGGACTGCAGAATGCCAGGCCTCCCTGTCCATCACCAACTCCTGGAGTTTAGCCAAACTCACGTCCATTGGGTCAGTGATGCCATCCAACCATCTTATCCTCTGTCTTCCCCTTCTCCTCCTGCCTTCCATCTTCCCAACATCAAGGTCTTTTCAAACGAGTCAGCTCTTCGCATCAGGTGGTCAAAATATTGGAGTTTTCAGCTTCAACATCAGTCTTTCCAATGAACTCCCAGGACTGATTTCCTTTAGGATGGACTGGTTGGATCGCCTTGCTAGCCCTCCAGTGTGGATGGGCAATTAGCTCCAACAATGCACTGAATAATAAACAATTTCTTTCCCGTTTCATAATGCCATTCTGACAAACTGTTTATATCAAACCCCAAATAGCTGTGGGGATGTTGGAAGCAGTTTATTCTGTTTGGTCAACCTCTGTTCTTGGTTTCATTTTTTCCATAGGAACTTTAGGATAAATTTACCAGTTCTTTCAATAAAATGTAATTGTAATTTTGCATGTAACAGATTAACTTGGAAAATATCTATGTTTACAAGTTTTAGTCTTCCTATGCATATACTTATTAATTCTTATTTACCTTCTTTTTCTTTAGTCATCTTAGTAAAATATCAACATATTTATTAGTTTTGTTCCTTAGTAAATTGTATTCTTTTGTATTAAAAGAAGCTTCTCATTTTATAATAGTTTCAGAAGTAAAGAAGGGTGGGAAAGGTAATAAAATTGTCATATATCCCAAACCCAGTTTCCCCTATAATTACTATCTTACAGCATTTATGGTATGCGTGGGGCTTCCCCCAGTGGCTCAGTGGTAAAGAATCTGCCTACAAAGCAAGAACTGTAGAAGATGTGGGTTCAATTCCTAGTTTGGGAAGATCCCCTGGAGAAGGGAATGGCTACTCACTCCAATATTCTTGCCTGTCCCATGGACAAAGAAGCCTGGCAGGCTCCAAGTCCACAGTGTCACAAAGAGTTGGACACGACTGAAGCAACTTAGCATGCACACATGGTATATTTATCATGATTAACTAACCAATACTTAATATATTGTCATTAACTAAGCTGCACACATTTTTGAATTTTGTCTTCACTAACATCCATCACTAATATCACATTGCATTTAGTCCTTAAAACTTCTTGTCCTTCTCTGATTAGTTTCCCAGACTTTTCCTTGTTTTGATCATCTCAAAAGTTTTGAAGAGTACTAGTCAGATATTTTTAGGTTATCTCTAAGTTGGAATTTGTGTTTTTCTAAAAATGAAACTAGAGTTGTGGATTTCAGAGAGGGAGACAGAGATCTGAATGCTGTTTTCATCCATCATGTTTGAAGGATGTACTATCAACATGACTATCATTATTGCTGTTGACCTTGATCACTTGGCTAGAGGTAGTGTTTGTCAAATTTCCCCACTGCAAAGCTGTCCCCTTCACCCCCCACCCCCGGCTTTTTAACTCTTTCTACTATATACTGTTTGGAAGGAAGTCACTTTGCTCAGTATATGCTGAAAGGATAAGGAGTTATATGTTAAAGATGTGGATTTTTTTAAAAAATGTACAATGTAAAGGTTACTCTCCGTTTACAGTTGTTACAAAATATTGGTTTTATTCCCCATGTCATACAGTACACCCTTTAGTCTTAAACCCAAAAGTTTGTAACTCCCACCCCCCAGCCCTATATTGCTCTTCTCCTCCTATAATCACTAATTTGTCCACTGTATCTTTGAGTCTATTTCTCTTTTGTTATATTCACTAGTTTACTGTATTTTTAAGATTCCACATATAAGTAATACCATGTAATATTTCTTTCACTTTATAAATGGTATTGTTGAAAATTGGATTTTATTCCTCTTTGTAGTTTGAGAATATGTTTCATTTCTTATTTGAATAGTTTGGTGATTTTCTTTTACTTTCCCTGTAGACAGCCATGTCCTCTAAAATGTATCCAGGCTTATTTATGCCTATTTCCAGTCATTATGCTTTTATTTTTTCACTCATTTCCTGCTTCGCTGACTCAGCTCCTTAGTAAAATAATGAATTTCTTCTCTTTTCTTTTTCCACTTCAAATGGAGTAATTCTACTGTTTCATGAGAAAGTATAACAATGTCTATGTATTTTAATATTTTCATTAGCATATGGCAGATTTTTCTCCTAATTTTCTAAACATGAATTTTCACCCTGT